GGACTAATAAAGGCACAGAATCGGGACTAATAAAGGCACAGAATTGGGACTGATAAAGGCACAGAATCGGGACTGATAAAGGCACAGAATCAGGACTGATAAAGGCACAGAATCGGGACTAATAAAGGCACCGAATCAGGACTAATAAAGGCACAGAATCAGGACTGATGAAGGCACAGAATCAGGACTGATAAAAGCACAGAATCAGGACTAATAAAGGCACAGAATCGGGACTAATTAAGGCACAGAATCAGGACTGATAAAGGCACAGAATCGGGACTAATAAAGGCACAGAATCGGGACTGATAAAGGCACAGAATCGGGACTGATAAAGGCACAGAATCAGGACTGTTAAAGGCACAGAATCAGGACCCTTTTGAGATATAATGATGACCATGGATGAACTGAAATTCGGATATGGTTGCAAAATGCTATTAGTAATTATAGTGATGATAGAAGTATTAGATATTTGTAAAGGGAACCAATGTTTTAATCCAGACACTGTTTCTGATGTACATATGAGCTCTAGATTTGATTCTGAAGATTTTCTAGTCCAGGCTTCAATAGGACCTGTTGATTGTATTAGAACATGCAAATCATGTGGATTATGTAAGTTTGTGAATTTTAACAAAAGGACTCTAGATTGCTCACTCCTGGCAGTAGAAGGTCAGTTGATCACTGACAATGATTATATTTCTATAGAGTCTTATAAATGGAATGATAACATGATGGGTGTATGTAAAGATCATAACTGTCCTTATAATACATTGTGTGTGGTAGAAGATGATAACTATACCTGTATACCATTAGGGTGTGGAATACCACAAACAGATAATATCAATGTCACTTCCTCCAACAGTAAGTTATTGTGGAATTTTGGGGACCTTGTAGAGTATGCTTGTGAACAAGGCTTTTTCACCCACACTAATGCTACTTGCTTGAGCACAGGCCAATGGAGTGAGTTTCAGTGTACTGCTCTTTATACGTCCACATGAATATGTGGTCGTATATTGTCGTTGCCCCTGTCCGTCGGTCCCTCCGTCAACATTTCTTGTGAGCACTATAGAGACTACAGTTTTTATCTGATTTTGATAAAACTTGGTGTGATGCTTCAGATTGATAAGATCTCGGTCAAGTTCGAATTTGACATATTTTCGATGAACGGTTTTTGACATATTGCCCTTGACTTAGAACGCCTTGAAATTTGTTAAAAATTGTTCGTGAGCAGGATTGAAGCTACAGTTTTCATCCGATTCTGATGAAACTTGGTGTGATCATTGGAATTCATAAGATCTCGGACAAGTTCTAACTTGACGCATTTTCGATGAATTGTTTTTGAGTTATTGCCCTTGACTTTGTTAAAACGCGTCAAAATTTGTTAAAAATAGTTCGTGAGCACGATTGAAGCTACAGTTTTCAACCGATTCTGATGAAACTTAGTGTGATCATTGGAATTGATAAGATCTCGGACAAGTTTTAACTTGACGCATTTTCGATGAACGGTTTTGAGTA